CTAGCATTCGTGGTTGGTGAGTTATAAGCTTTTAAATGCAAGCAACTCTACTTGCGTTTCTTTTGTAAGCCACTGTACATTTGATAAAGAGAAATGTAATAGAGTTCTTGATCAATTGTCAGCTAAATTTTGATTAGTCTGTTCTTGCTGAATTTTATTAGAAGCTGTAGTGATATTTGAATCTTTGGCATAAGTATCAATAAGTTCACTAGCAATAACAGCTTTCAGTAATTCATTACGAAATAGTAAGAGCTGTGAACAACCGATGATAATTTCTTTATTATCATTACTTTTGGACCTATTCCATGAATATGAATATAAATATTCTACTTATCACTGATTTTGACGCAATAAAGAGCTCTTTCTTTAATGGTAAGTTTTTCCTTTCTCTTATCTGGTATAAGAGCTTCTATCTGCTTTTTGCTAAATGTGCGTCTGTTTTTAGTGCTTCTAGCAAAGGTGTCTTTAACACTCTTGTAGGCATTTCAGTCTGAGAGTGGCACACCAAGTTCGGGGGCATGTTCGCTTAGTTGCTCTGAGTAGAGTCAGCTGATAGATTATACTTTTTTAAGAACTGTTCCAGAATTAAAACAAAGTTATTAGTTTTGGGTTTTCGAGTCTTCAGAGTGGTTACTTTAGTAGACATGCCAATAATAAGTAGATTGCAATTATTACCTAATTATATTAATCTACTTATTTTCAATTTGAAAAAATTCCTTAATCCTGAGTGCTAAAGCAAAGAAATTTTGAATATCTATAATAAAAGTGAAAATGAAGTTTTTTAAGATTATTAATATCAAAATTACCTCATATGGATCGTCTATCCTGTCAATACATCAAGAAAGATGGTTCAATTTATAGGAAAGGATGCTAGCATGCTTCAGGATGTGCCAGACATTATATAGCCCATCCTAAAAAAATATGCCCTGTCTGTAATGAGTTAACCTATTCTCGCATTGGAATCTGTAGCACACATAATGGAATTTATGACCATGTCTGACGCGAAAGTAAAAAAACTAAAATAGAATTGATCCTTTGGGATTATCTAATATAATCAAGATACTTGGCTGAATAACAATCTGGACTGGAAAGTTATTTTCCTTACCTATAGAATTAAAAAGTTCCTGAATCTTATTATCTGCATTTGACCTATATTAAAGATGGGAACTGTAATTAATATGTTGCAACTTTTAATGTTGCAACTTACGTTGCAATTAGTTTTAATCTATATATGTTGCAACTTATAATGTTGCAACATATGTTGCAACTAATTTTAGCTTATGTTGCAACATTTTGTAAATTTGAAATCAATTGCTGTACCATCTTTAACCTATATAGTGAAAGTTCTGGCTACTAAATAATTTAAATACACATTTATTATAAAATTAATCTGCACTAAAATTGAAAGGTTTCTATATCCTAAAATACTTACATAGATCATGTTACTTGTTCATATATCAAAAGAAATGGTACTATTTGTAGAAGAGTATGTATTCATATTACTGGATGTGCAAGACATTGGGCATTACATGAAAAAAAATTGGAAAAAAAACCATGCTTTGTTTGTGGATTTCCTACTGCTTCTATTATAGAATGCTGTCCCAAACACTCTGCCAGATTTCATGCACTGAATTATCAGATAAGACAGAAGTATATAGATAAGGGCTTTCAACTCATGACGACCTCTGAATTGTCTGCTGAGAAGTAAGCAAAAAAATACTACTAGATATTATTAGATGGAAGTCTTGCTAGTTTATCACTTTTAGCGTCTTCTCAAATGATAGTGTTATTTTTCTTATCACTTATTTGAGACTCTAAGGGGATTCACTTTGCGAACCTAGGAAAGGAATATATTCTGATGATAATTCTTCTGCGTAATCTATTATATAAATATTAGCAGAAGACTTATTTTTGAACGTATGACCTATTTTGTAAAGTCTAGTAGTATATCCAGATTGTTTTATAATAAAATCTACCTACATAATATCAAATAAGTATTGAATATCATTCGCAATTAACATAATATTCACATTAGAACTAGAACTATCTTTAGTCTGCTTATTCTCTAAAAGATTTTCCATTAATAATTCATCAGGTAGGAGTTTACTATACCCATATCAAGTATCTTCTCCATTTTCCCAATAAATTTCTTTACCTGTTTGGTATAAAGGTAATCAGGAGCGTTTTTGCTATCAAATGATCTAATCAGATGGTAATATTTGAGATTCTTATCTATAGCCTTGAATTTCAGCCCATAAGTTACATAAAATACTGAATTCAGTAAACCAAGTTTTGCCGATCTGTTTTCAATTCTGATTTTTTAGCTCTGTGCAATGCATCTGTATTATTAAATACCTGAGACATTTTGGAAACTAAATCATGAAAATATAATAATGACTTGGAAGAATTCAGATGCATCTTAACATTATCAGATTTATATTGTATTCTATCATCAATATCCCTAGCTGGTATGCAAACTCTTAATAATTCAAGGCAAATTCAATGCCTCTCAGCTCGGGTTACAGTTGTAAGCCTATCTTCTTTATAATCTTTATGGGAAATAGCCTCAACTGCTATTTCATTACTAATACCAGTATCTAGTAGTTGCCTATAAGCTCTAAAGCATTTCATGTGATTGTAATTCCCATATTTTGAGATGAAGTCTTCAGTTAGTAATTCAGATGAAATTCCATAGCAATTCACAATATGATGCTGGTCTAAAGAGTGCATCTCTTCTAAAGTCTTCTTTGGTTTATTCTCCAATAATTCAGCAGTCTTATGATTGACAATAAAAGCATTAGATATATCTGATATCTCCTCTGCTTTAACAATAGAAGAACTCACCTTCACTGTTT